TTCTCAACAGACTAGACCCCAATGTGTTTGGTTTTCTTCCCCCTGAAAGAATGGTGATTACCAGTAACTGAACTGTTCCTTTACTAAGAAAAATCTAGCAGTTGATTAGGAGTGTAAACTTGAGCTAAAAAGAAATAGTGGAACTAACATGAGTTGAGCAACACTGTATGCAGGAAACCTAAGCATTTTACATGGACCGTCTCATTTAATCCTCACAACAACTTTGTGGTAGGTACAGTCAGTTCTGCTCTAATGCTTGTTTTGAAAAGGTGTATTTGTTCCAATTCAGTTGATGTATTATGGAGCAATTTGGGCATAACATGAATTTTGTGTATGATTTCTTCTGCAAGAAATACTGAGTGAAAGCAGAAAAATGGCCCCAGCTGAACTGTTCTGCCCAGGTACACAGCACACCTCTACCTGGGACGTCAACATCTGCATGTTAGAAGCCACACCTACATATAACTTGCCTTCTGCTTTCAAATTCATATCTTCCTTAAATGCAAGAGGATACTCTTTCATCATGCAACCTTGGGTTTTCTTCAAGATAAAGAGCTTTGCACTCCTGATGCTTTTTATGCATTTCTTAACTATTAATATGCATAACATGTGTATTAACATGTTTCCTTTTTATTAGCTCCTCTTTTTTAAGTCATATGTAGAGTATTATTGAAGCTTTTGAGCACTGTGATTCTAACTCCATTTTCCCAACAATCCCTATGTCTTATATGGTGTGATTTTGTGTAACACAATGATTTTTAGAAAGATATATCCTAAAATATATCAAAGCTGACTAAATTGTTTTAATTCTCACTTCAACCAATGGGGAAGCTACTTCTCGGTTAAGTTACACAATCTGTCAAAAAGCATGTAGTAAGTGGTGTCACAGCACTCAAAGGTCTGGTTCCCAATCACTATGTCTCCCACCACTGATACCAGTTCTATAAGAGTCATCGCACACACTGATTAGAAACTTTGTCCCCCAAAAAGAAAGAGCTCAGCAGGGGATATGAGAGAGTAATGGGGGTGAATGTAATCACAATACATTGTGTGTGTGTGTGTGTGTGTGTGTGTGTGTGTGCACATGCATGTATGAAATTGTTAAAAATTAAAGGGGAAAAAACAAAACAAAAACTGATTTCCAAGGATCCCAAGAACAAGCTTCTATTTAAAAAGGCTCAGAGTTAGGAAAGTTCATGAAGTTTCACTTTAAAACCTCTTAAGCCAATTAAAACAAAATTTTTAAAAACAGCTTTATATCATACTATATTAGATTTTTAAAATATCATTAAAGTAGCTTTATAAACTCTCTGCTAGCAGAATATATACTACCTTAGTGACAGACTGCTTGCCTAGCATGCACAAATGCTTGGGTTCATATATTCTACACAAAGTAGACAAGATATCCTTTCCAAATATTGTATTTTTCAGTATTAGAGCCAGTTAAAAACTTTTTTTTTTTTTGAGATAGTCTTACTGTATAGTCCAGTCTGGCCTAAAACTGCTTTGCCTCTCAAGTGCTGAGATTAAACATATGTACCACCATGTCTAGCCCAGTTCTAGAGTTTCTTTTTTATTTCTTTCTGATTCTTTTTTATAGTCTTTATTTCTTTATTGAGATTTATCTTTTTATTCATTGTGAGCACACTTTCCTTTATGTACTAACCAAATTTCTAACAGTTGCTTTAAAATGTTTACATGCAAATTCCAACATAGATCAAAATAAGTTTGATTTCTACTGACTTTTTTCCCTTTGAAAATTGGTCATATTTTCCCATCATCTTTTTTTTGAGGTTAAATAAACATTAAATTTACTATTTTAAGTTTATAGTTAAGGCTACTTGTACTACTGTGTATACTGAACTCTTTCAGCTTTCCACACTGAAGCTCTAACTCCATTAAACCACTGCTGCCCACTAGGTTCTCTTTATGCTTAATTTTGAATTTCTAATGATACATTGTGCATATCCTCACCACTGTTAATGTTTTTCCATTATTACCAGGTTTTTGTTTGTTTCAGTACCCAAGTAACTTACTGGTATTCTAAGTGCAAACTCTATTTCAGATCAGTTCTTTCATTCTTGGGGTGCTGCTCCAAATCCACCAGGCACACGGTGTTCAGGAGTCAGTCAAAAGCCAGGGCAGCTATCCACAGACTTCAAGTCTCTTCCACTCTTGGCATTCTAGAATACATCCTGGCTTTCCAATATCTGCCACTTTCCTGCATCCTGTCCTCTACTCTCCTTTTGGAATTTAGTCACCATAACCAACTGCAGCCTAGCCCCACAGCAACAGCCAAAACAACAGAGGACATCACTGCATGTTCACTTCTTCCAAGTATCAAATCCCCTCCAGTCTTCCTACTTTTGCTTTTCTTTATTCTTCTGAGGATTAGGGCAGTTGAGTTTTTTGGTTCTGTTTTCTATTTTCCAGATTATTTTTGTTATCTCTGGGAAAGTCAATCTAATAAAAGTTTACTTGGCCAACTTAAAGCAGACTGCTAACTTATTTTTTCAGCTCTCTTTTTGTAGGTAAAGATAGTTTTCTTTGTGCATATTCATCAAGAAGCTCATGTGTATGCATATATGTGTATACATGTGGGAAGATTTGTGGGGGTGAGGAAGCACTTGTGTGTGCATGCTTGTGGAGGCCAGAGGTCAACCATGAGTGCTGTTCCTCAGGAACCATCTACCTTACTCTTTTTTTTTTTTTTATAAATTTTTTATTATATTTATTTATTTAGCGAGTGAATGAGTCAAGTGTGTGTGTGTGTGTGTGTCTGTCTGTCTGTCTGTCTGTCTATGTCTGTGTGTCTGTGTGAATGCATGTGTGTGCCATGGTACCCAGACAGAGATCAGAGGACAACTTGTAAGAGTTGGTTCTCACTTTCCACCATGTGGTTCCCTGGACTCAAATTTAGACCATCCATCAGATATGGTGGCAAGCACCCTTACCCACTGAGTCATCTAAGTCACATCTTCTAGGCTATTGAGAGAGGGTCTCTCAGTAAGCTGGAGCTTACCGATTAGACTACACTGGTTGGCCAGCAAGCCCAGCGACTCACGTCATCACCTGGCCAGGGCTGGGATTACAAGCAGGTAACACTCACATTCAGCTTTTTGATAGGAGTTCTGGTTATTAAACTCAGGTCTTCCTGCTAGCACAGAAAACACTTTAAAGACTGGGACATTTCCCAGTCTTGGGTAAAGACAATGTGAAGTAGCAGGGTTTATTATTCAACTATTCTCTAAGCATGTAGACAATGTGTTAAACCTTATAAAAATACACTTAGACACTCTCTAGAAGCAAATAATTCAGTAAACGTTCTGGAGACGTTCACTGAATTATCAAGATCCCAGGGAATGGGGCCTACAGGTAAGTGCCAGGACTTCATAGCAAAGCAGGCCCTAAATATTAGACTGTTCTTACAAGTTCAGATTTAAAGATGGCTAAAATAAATAAGTACAGAAATAATTTTTACATTTCAGTCAAAGCAATCATTTTAGTCGCTATCTAATATTTAATGGGTTATGAACCATGTAACTAAAAAATTCTATCAAGCTGATGGTGCTTAACACCATTTTTTAATGCTAATTTTCACTTAATAATTTTTTCAGCCTCCTTTTCTTAAAAGAGAGAGAGAGAGAGAGAGAGAGAGAGAGAGAGAGAGAAAGAGAGAGAAATGCTGAGAACAGAATACAATCCCACAGGACACTTCATCTATTTCATATCACTTAAAAATAATGAACCATGGAAAATCTTGAGATACATTTTAAAATCACTGAATTTTCACCTATAGATTGGTAATAACTACAGTGGTTATCTAGAAGGATCATTCTAAAATATACAATAGAACAGGTCAGAAGCTGGCTCCAAAACCATCATTAAAAGTATTTAGCTCAGCCAGGTGTGGTGGCACACGCCTTTAATCCCAGCACTCTAGAGGCAGAGACAGGTGGATCTCTGTGAGTTCAAGGCCAGCCTGGTCTACATAGTGAGTTCCAGGACAGCTGGGGCTACAGGGAGACCCTGTCTCAAAAAGACCAAAAAGGAAAAAAAAAGTATTTAGCTCAAGGGAAAAATATGATTGCGGGCTGGAAAGATGGCTCAGTGGTTAAGAGCACTGACTGCTCTTGCCGAGGACCCGGGTTCGATTCCCAGCACCCACATGGCAGCTATGAACCATCCTTAACTCCAATTCCAGGGGAATCTGAAGCCCTCTTCTGACCTCTGCAGCAATGCGTGACATGGGTACACTCACATACATGCAGGCAATACACTCATACACATAAAATAAAAATAATAAAATATTTTTAAAAAATATGAGTGCAATCAAAGCTGTCTTCAAAGGCAACTGAGCAAAAAAGGTCCCGAATGCATTCCAGGATGGCTAAATAAAAGAGCATTGCATTCCTTTATTGATTATTTACCACTATGAAGAAAAGTGCCAAATCAGAAATTTTTTAAAAAAGTTATAGAGCCCATGACATGTCCATTAGAAGGACAGAAGGACTCTACTCTCCTGGCCTATACCTGTCCAAGGCCTCACCTCCTGACACCATCCTATCAGTGATTAGGGGTCAGTCAACATACTAATTTAAGGGAAGAAACATTCCGATCTTAGTTGGAACTACAAATTTCCTAAAATTTTCCAAGTGTTCTATGACACAAGCCCTGTTCTCTCTGTCCTCGATCTATACACTGAACTCAGTCAAGCATCTATCCTTTACCAAGCTTTCTGATTCTCTGCCTTCCACATCAGAGCTGCAGGAACTCCCCTTGACTATCACTGTATCTCAATACCTCTATTACAGCTCTTACAACATACTATTCCATTTTTAAATATGCTTTGTTCTCCTACCAGATCAGAATGACACCTTCTCGCACTCACAACATCTACCGTAGTGCCTAACACCAACGGAGTAACTCATGAACCGACCTTAGGGGCTTGAAAAGAGTAAGAAGGTACCTGCCATATAGACTAAGGATTAGTCTCTTACCTGTTTGGAGTTGGTTAAATATAATTTTGCTCCCAGGTTTACAATCTGCAGTTTTACCAGATCATCTTCACTGGTGAAACTTTTAGCCATCTTCCTTAAAACATCAGGGGCAATTTTAGGAACTCGTTCACAGTTTTCTCCAATTAGCCAAAGAATACTTGCTCTAGCCACAGGAACCTAACATTAGAAATACATTGCATTATTAGAAACATGATAATTATACTCTGAACATCAACACAGAAAATGTTTAAAATCAAAAGTTTTTCATCTATTTATCCATTAAATATATATCTAAGAAATACTCCAACAGAGAAGATTCTTTAGTTATCAAAATATAAGCACATAAGAAATCTCACTGAAACTGATTTCAAAGAAATACCCTAGGAAATATTACTACAGCAAAAACTAGTGGTCTAGAATCTAGGTCCCTCCAGAGTCCCACAAATCCCTGGACCAAATCTGACTGACCATGACCATTTACTTCTCTTTTCCTGTCACTGTTTTCCTACTGCCACGGCAAAAGTGACTTATACTGTACTTTAGCATTGTAATTTTTTTTAAATTAAGTACATTTCAATATAATTTGTTTTGCTAAAAATCACTGGTTTGCGACAAATTGGAATCCTTCCATCAGAACCATTAAGACCAACATTTTAGAGTATTCAAATTAATTTTATTACTATTTGCTTATTTGTATCCTCCCCTATTCCAAAAGGAATTTGAGAGGGTATGTAAATTAGTTCCTGTGAACATTTTCACCTAGCATAGAAAATCTTCTTTTTTCTAGGTGACAAAGCTGAAGGCTACCATTCGGTGGCAGCATCAGACGAACAAACGACGCTCCTCTCGTGAGGCCTGTGCAGGTCCTCCACGTTTTAATGCTTTCTACACAGTTTCACTGAGCAAGAGTAAGACCATTTCCATGGCTAAAAATTTAACAAAATATCAGCCATCTCAAACTCTTTCCAAATGTTTATTTCACAATAATAATATAGCAAAAATATTAACACATTTCCTACACTGAATCAGCAGAATCAGAATGTGGTCATTAAAAACACTTTAAATTAAAGCATATATTTCTTAACATGATAACAGCATCATCTTTAATTCATACTTAGAATACATTTAGTAAGAAGAAATCAGTATATACTTAGGTAATGAAAAAAGGGTCTAAGTGCTATTTCAAGTCTATTCATGCACTGTGATAAAATATCCTTACTGTATACTGATTTCTGGAAAGAAAGAGGTTATTTCTAATGTTCCAAAGGTTACACTGCATTAAGACCTTACTCCTGATCTATTATTTTAAATTGGGCTAAAGAATAGTAATTGAGTGGTACATTAAATTTTCTAGTATGGAGCAATTCAAGTTGTCTGCCATAATGAAAGGTACTTCTAAATAGGGATATATGGGTAACTTCAGGTTTCAGCTATGCTAGATTTATTTTTCTTACATTTTTTATTATATATTGCAAGTCTAAAAATTAGAATTCTATAATATATCACAACATATTATCTCATTTTAAGTAATTTTCTTCTGGTAACATACTTAAGATTCTCCTTTGTGATTAAAAAGACACAAAGCAAGGTGGTAAGAGATTTCAGACTCATGAATATATTAAAACAACAATATTTTAGTACTCTAAGTATTCATAATAATAACTTTTGAAAGAATTAAAAAAATCAGTAAAGTAATGCTTATAATGAAAACATCAAGACGGTGGTAGAGTAAGGGGGATAATATTCAGAATTCTCTAGAATGAGGTTAATAAAATCCCTAAACAAACATTTTAAAAACTTAGAAAACTTACAACAGAAATTCTGTCAATAGTGTATCAAACTCTGAGTAATGATATTTTATTAAAAGTCTCAAAGAACTGGGCACATCAGTGCATGCCTGTAATCCCAGTACCAGGGCAGCAGAGGGAAGCAGAATTTCAGCCAGTCTGGGCCACATGAGACTGCCTCAAAAACAAAACAAAACAAAACAGAACAGAACAAAACAAAACAAAACAAAACAAAACAAAAAACAAACTGTAAGAAACTGACAAGGACAATGCTTTTGTGCACTAGAGTTAGGATACTAAGATGTTCAGATCCCACCCTTCCTTCTCTCTCAACTAAGTTAATAGACTCGCCTTTTACACCATGGATACTGTGGATCAAAGATTTGAAACATGTGAAAAAGCTTCAAATCAGAAAAGCCGTCATCTTTTGTCCTCCGTGTCTTTTCAACCACATAATAAATAGGAACAGTGAATTAAAATCAAACTAATAATACAACACACACACACACACACACACACACACACACGGGGACATGCATGCACAGAGGGTCAAACATGATATAATACTTTTATTATGAACCTCTGCTTTTCAATATTCTCAAAGACAAACTGGATTGTAAATGACTGTGCTTGATTCTTTATTCTAAATGCCCTGAGCAAGTGGTTAAGTGCACTTTTCAAGCCTTCTACTAGAAGGCAGTTTCCACTGCCATTTTAACCCATTAACTTGCCTGCAAAAACAAATAATAATTCCTAGGCCATCACTACAGTTATAAAGAGACATCTAGAAAGATTTTACAGATCACTCGATAAGCAGTTCAATTTAAAAGCTATTGTGTTTCAACAACAACCCACTGCACTGAGCAACAGTCTGAAGTAAATCCTGGAAAAACATCAATTTTATTTATTTAAATTTGTCAAAGGCAGAATCAGTAGACATCTAAACAAACTACATACTAACAGCAAATCAGATCCAATAGTCGGTATCTGGACTCAATATGCATTAAAACTTAGGTCTGAATTACATTAGAGTGGCAGGGTGGGGTAAGAGGGGGAACCTGTGAAATGGCAGGCATCCAGTGAGGCATCTGGGCCAGAAGTACATGAAGTGTTATTTACTATTACTCAGTAGTCTTTTTAGAATAACATTTCCCAATTGTTCTTTTATGACGTGAAATCCCCATCTGTCCTATTAAACATTGTATGAATCTCATTATAGAGTATTCTGTAGTCTGGAAAACTTGACTGCAAAAGCAGTATTCACTACAAATGAAGGACACACCAAAGGAGAACAGTCACAATTCAGGTACACAAGATGACTACTACATAGACATCTACTCCATCCTGATAAACTCAAAAAGCACAACAAATGTAAGCATTGGTTTCCATATTTTCAACTATACTACTTTCTAAATAACCAATGGAATCAGTCTTAAATATGACAAAAATCTGTTCTTTCCTTTTTAAGAACTGTATTTAACATCCATTGATTCCCCACAATTTGCTGGGCAGTTTCTAAAAAACTTGATCTAATTTTTTAATAACCCACAAAAGCTTTATGATGTAAGCTCTACCATTAACTCCACCTGAAATACACGTAATCTAGAGCAGTGAAGAGGTTAAGAAGTCTGTCCATCTTCTATAGCTCACCAGTGGCAGAGCCAGTACAAACTGCAGATGTGAATCAGAATTCACACTGGACCACTGGACAGAAACAATAAAGCCACCGGTGACCTGGGAAAAATGCTGGCCAGGAAGTCATGAGGACTGTTTCTGGTCTCACACAGATTATATACATCATGGAGACAAGTAACTTCCCTTCAGTGGACCTTAGTCACTTAAGTGAAAGACTACTCCTTTGTCCCTGTCCTGCTGCCACATTATACAATGGCCTCTTGTCTCTCACTATTTCCATAGGAGCGAGACTTTTCAGGGAGGGTTTAGTCTCCTTCTTGCCTATTCCCATACCATGCATGGTGGCAATTTCCCCATTCCTTTTCACTTCTCCTTCAGAGGATAGGAGAGGTAGCCAGGGTGGGAAGAGGTCTGGTTTCCACTTCTGTTATCCCTCCTCCCAGAAGGGTATATGTACCTAGGATTGTGCCCTGTTCAGGCATTTGGGCCCTCACTGAAAGCCATGTTCAAGACTGCCCTCTTGTTGTGTGATGGGTCAGACTGGCTTTCAAAGTACAGAATCAGGAAGACTGAGGTCTTCTTTAAGGCATCTGATTCTAAGGCTCACAAATTGAGATTCACTTAATCATACTTAACAGTTCACAGAAGCTTGGTCAGATTAATAAAGTCCTAATACTCTGTTTTCATTTCATCATGGCTGTTCTTATGTGAACAGCTCTTGAATGGAACACAGCTTCTGAGGACCTAGTCATTAGTCGTTTCTGACTGGCTTGTATCTGCTTTGCCCCTCAACACATTCTGTGCATCTCCCTGAACATTTTTAGAGTTCTAAAAGGCAAACTGTTTCAAGCACTTCAGTATCCTCAAGTATGACTAATAAACAGTAACAATTCATCATCAGTTTTTTATCTTCTGAAAGTTCAAATGTGTACAACAGAACTGCATGGAGCTGTCTTCTAATTATTTTAATCTTTCCTATGATTATGCCCTAGATGTGTCCACTCTTGCTTCTTCTCAGCCTTATCAGAAAACGTGTCCTATCTTATGCACTTTTCTGAAACCCAGAATTAACATGTATTTATAAATTTTGACTATTTTGGAATTCCATTTTGCAAAGAATCAACTCTGATCCCTCTTCTTGGGTTTTTATGTTGCTTCATTTTGTTTCTTTTCACATTTCTTACAAATACCACATTCTTTCATCATGATCTATTTTTATTTAAGATGAGATTTGTAACTTTGGCTATGACCCACATATTTTGGAATAAAGCATTTTCTTTTTTTCTAGTTTTCCTTAAAGATTATATTTTGTGTACATGTATCTGCCACATGTGTGTAGATACCCACAGAGGCCAGAAGAGGGCATTGGATCCCCTGGAGCCGGAGTTACAGGAACTGGAGTTACAGGTGTTGTTGAGTCACTTGATGTGGGTTTTGGAAACTGACCTCGGGTCCTCTGGAAGAGCAACAAGTACTCTTAGCCCATAAGCCATCTCTCTGGCCCACTTCTGAAGTTTTATAGAAAGGTTACATTTATTTGTTAAACTTTTTCTTTGATGGAAAAGTGTAACTTTGATACTGGGGCACAGCTCAAAGATAGAGGATTTGCCTGGCACATTGTTAGGTCCTGGGTTCAAGTCCCAACAGTGTAATATATGCATACATACATATATGTAAACTTTTTACAAGTGATTGATACTCTGTAAATTATTTAATTTTATTGCTTAAGGTAAAACAAAATGTAAAAATGTTTCC